CTCACGGAGCCCTTGCATTGTTTGTCTTTTATGGTGAGGTTAGTGAGCCTCATTTCCTGGTTTAATAAAACTTTTGAACCTTTGTGACACCACACAATACTGCAATGAGGAAACATGGTGGCAGCATTTCAAAAGGACACTTAATAAGGAGCAGTAACCTGTTTTTTTTTTTTAAAAAAAAAATGTCTCCAAAAACAAGCTTGGCTATTTTTTTCCCTTGGCTGGACGGGTTGGCACAGGACCAGCAAATGCCAGTGGCCACGGGAGCGCACAGTGGAGATGGAACGTGCAGATCTGGTGGGGGACTTCGTGCTTGTTCCCTGGCCTTTGGGGAGCTTTAGGGTCTTAACCCTGAACACCTTGGAAGGCTGACCTTGCACCTCAGGCCCTCAGATTCCTGACTGCAGAAGGTAACGTTCTGGCTACATTGAAGTGCTTAGACAGGTGAGTTCTTTATGTTCCTATCAGACTAATGAGGCCAAATCTGTCTGCACAGAGGCCGCCCTGTTCCCTGCTCTGAGCCAGGCAACCGCTGGCCCTCTCCTGTCTCTAGAACTCCATGTCGCCTGCTCCTCCAGAACGAAGGGCCAGAGAGCGGAGCGCGAACTGGAACTGCCTGCTAAGGTAGCCTCTCGGCCGTCCCCTCAGCACTCACACTCACACACACACTCACACACACACACACACACACACACACTCACACACACACACACACACTCACACACACACCATGCTGTGCTCAGCACCCTTCTATTCGTATAGATCCAGCTAGGATGGGAAGCCCTGAATTTCCTTGAATAATTTAATCGCCAGAGCCTGGCCTGTGCCCCTCCCACACTCGGTGGGGTCTTCCTTGTCACTGGCAACCAGTCTCCACCTTTTAATAGGCAAAGCTTTGAAATTATAGTCTTTCCTTTAACAAACAAATTCTCAGGCAAAGGTGGTCTCAATCACTGTGAGGACTTACAAGGCAATATAATTACTCACGGCCATTTGTAAGCTTCCCCGCCACAGGAGGACAGACACCAGGAAGACTTGTCAGACCAAAAATGCCAGACACCAGGAATCAAACCATATAAGGAAGTAAAACTGCGAAGCAGCACCCACAATGCATTCCTGTTGACCCAATTCACTGCCCAAGCCCACCCACCAAGCCCCCCAAACCCACTGATGACAAAAGCTTCCTGCCATTGACTGCTTATAAGGACAAGATTTGAGCTCCTAGGGGCAGCCATCATCGACCCAATTCTCTTTGGCTTGGTGCCTTGTAGCCCTTCTCTCTGTATATTCCCATCCCTCAACCCCTTTTCTTTAAATAAATTCAATTTTTCTTTATTCACTGTCTAAAATTGTTATTTTGCCTGCCTGTGCACCAACGACTTTAACCTTTCAATCACTGTTGATTTTGTTTTAAATAGTATTTTTTTTTCCTTATTTGGCAAATTCATCTCTTTGTGGCTGCAAATTTTCAGGTTAGCCCTCCTGTCTCAGATCTTCTGTGTCTAAAAGGTTACCTGTGGTTCCTCTCGTCCTTGGCACAGGTGTAAGTGTTGCAGTCTCTGTGTCTGGGAGCGGGTCCCTGTATGTTGGGGTGCGAGGTGGAGAGAGAGGCAGCCTTCTGGGGTCGCTGTGACAGAGGTGTGCTTATTTTACAATGAGGAAATGGTCAGTGATGAGATTTTTACTTCAATGTGAGAATTTGTATATGTACTAGGATCCCTTGTTTTTCAAAATTGTGCCATGTCTTGGCAGAGACTGCTGGGAACACACCAAATCCTTCTGTCCTTCCAGGCTAAGAAAGCCAGAGCTGGGCACACACTCCAGACTGTAGACTCACCTCCCAGCCTCCTTTGCAGCTGTGTGGTCATGTGACTCAGTCTTGACAGGGAAGCCCAGGGAGTGTGGGTGTCTTACCTCTCTGCTCCTCCACACCCTTTTCTTTCCTCAAGGGCCAGCGGGAACCTGGATGGGAGGAGGGAGACCTGAACCGCCTCCTGGCAGAGAACCCGCCCGCTGCCCTGGACTTAATGAGGGAAACAGGGTTACTTTTTCACAGACACTTTCGAGTTGGGCGGCTGTTATAGCAGCCCCACCCTTACCCTCGTCACACTCCTGCCTCCCTCCTGCCTCCCTCCCGCCTCCCTGCATGCTCACAACCCTGCTCAGCTCTGCAGCGAGGAGCCCCTCAGAGCAGTGTGCTCTCAGGATACACATGGAAAGGTGTCACCTGTCTGTCCTTCTCCTGGCAGCCCAGTGAGGCAACAGTTTGGATGCGGGCAAGTGCTGCAGTCCAGCCATCGGCAATTTCGCTCTTTAAAGTCAAACCCATGCTCCTGGCTCCTGTGGATGTTGTGTTCTTATCCACTGAACCCCGAAATCTTAGGCCCACCTGAGGATGAGGAAAGGGACTAACAGCCAGTTTCTGAAACAAATCGCTGGCCTTGCCCCGGAGTACAAAGGTTGGTCTCAGGGCAAGTGGACTGTACAACTGTAGTCATTATTGCCACCGTGTGTGCAGCCTCTGCCATGGCTGCGCAGGGGCCGGACCCTTCATGGGCATTAGTCCATTTATTCCTCACAGAGCCCTTGCGGGGAGTATTTACACCACGTGGGAGAGGAGAAAGCTGGGACACCAAATCACTTGCCCGAAGCCCGAATCACGCAGAGAGCAAGGTGGCCCTGGTTTTGGGGAGGGCATGCCCTTTGGCTCCACCCTCCCCCGCCCCATGCATTTCCTAGGAGCAAAGCCTGGGTGCTGACACTCCAAGACTTCGGGGCCCTGGGAGGTGGGGCTGCCAACTGCGTGAGCAAGGGGGCAGAGCAACATTGTAAATACTTAACCAGCAGGTTTTTAGCCCAAAAAAAAGGTGTGCGCTGTAAGTCACCCAAGGGGAAAGCACACCCAGGTCTCAGAACAGCAAAGTAGGAATTGATCTAGATTTTCGTCACTTGTCTGGGTTGGCAGAATGCCCTAGATGACCTTTGCTTTTATTTCACCCTAACAGCAGGGACCAAGATTCAAGATGAAAAGTTAGTGGATTTTCCAGGGGACTCGGAATTGGGATGACACTTCTGAGACTTGTGTCTCATTTTTCTCCCAAGGAACCAGGGGGCTGCCTCCTGGAGAGTCACCACCATTGTCACCTCCTAAGGCTCCACCAAACAACTCAGGTGCCAGGGTTTGGGTGACTCCAGGGCTAGAGAAGAGACAGAAACAGAAAACAAGGGAGCCGTGGCTGTCCTCCTACAGAAGGAGACAAGCTTGGACAGCTGCTTTGGGCACAGCCTGGGCCTCGCGCAATGGCTGAGGGGAGTAGAGTTTTTAGAGGTTCGGCGAGGAAGAGAGACTCCCAAAGGTGATGCGCTGGGAGTCGGAGGTGAAGAACACAGGTTACTTAGCAGGACTGTGATTTAAAACGATCTGGGCCCCACCACTGACCCCAGGGCTCACACAGTCTCCTGGGTTTCATCTACCCTCAATGTCCTTCTTCAGTCACTCCAGCGAGGGGAGTAACTGCCGGGTTCTACGCTTCCTGAATTTGCTGTGTCTGAGGGGACGCTGGGCTCCAGACGGTTGGCTTACTATTCATGACCTTGGTGCTAATTATGACAAGAGAGCATAGTCTTATACACAGAAAGAGCAATAATACTTTATTTAAAAATATGTACAAAATTATTAGTTTGAAACACATTACTTTCAACATACATCATATAACACTGACGGGTGTGAATTTTGGTGCTTTCATTCATTCAGTTTTGTGATTTCTCTTTTATTCAAGGCTCTGGGGGAGCATTTTCTTCAACGCCCACCAGGGGGAGGTGACCACTGGCCTGGTCCCTCGGGGGCTGGCTGTGCTCTGGGCCCACTAAGGCTGAACTGGACGGGAGCCAAAGGCAAACGCTGACCCTGCTGGGGGCACTTGGGACAAGAACTGACAGGCCATCTCAATCACACACCAACTGCCCAGCTTTCTCTCTGCACCTGGGTAAAGTTAGTGAGAACAAGTATCACTTATTTTCACAACAAGTCCTGCTCTGGGCTTAGATAATATAAATAACATAAATTATGTTCTCTGTAATGCCTGCTCTTCCCTGCCCCTGTCACCAGCACCACGGGAAGCGAGTGCCAGGACAGGAGCTGGCCTCTTGCTGCAACCTGGGAAAGGAACCGAGAAGAGCAATGAAAGGGAGCATCTGTGTTAGGCCGAATTTGAGTTGCAATGATTTTTTTAGAAACATATTTTTATTGATTTCAGAGAAGAAGGGAGAGGGAGAGAGAGAGAAACATCAATGATGAGAGAGAATCATGGATCGGCTGCCTCCTGCACGTACCCCACTGGGGATGGAGCCCACAGCCCAGGCATGTGCCTTGACCAGAATCCAACCATGACTTCCTGGTTCATAGGTCGATGCTCAACCACTGAGCTACGCAGGCCAGGCTTGAGTTACAATGATCTTGAGATAAATTGGACACTGCCTTTGGGCACAGCCCGGGCCTTATTCATCCCTCTTTCTCCCACAGTGCCTTGCGTCTAGCAGGCACTTAATAAAGGCTCATGGTGTGGAAAATAAACAAATACAGAGGAGCTGTGACTACGAGCAGACAACATACCCTTTTAGAATCTGAGAGTGTGAGAGATGAAAGGGACATGGGAGAGCATCTAGACTTGCTTCTTTGCATGGTAAATGGGGAAACAAGCCCAAGAAGTCAGGTGAAGTGAACAAGGTCACACACTAGCTCCTGTAGAGTTAGACTTGAGTTCAGATTTCCTGAATTTCTCCTTCAATTTCCCACTCTCTTCAGATCTGAATCTGTAAAAAGAGCTGTATGAACTCAGTGATGTGCCTCAAACTCAGGAAAACCGACCCCACGTCAGAAGCTCTGGAGTAATGGGTGACCTGGGCCAGGTGGCCAAGGGCACAGCGCAAGCAGCCAAGTTCCCTGTCGGCAGCCTCGCTCCCAGGGCCCCGGTCCTGCCTGGGCTCAGAGGACCAAGGCCCCGGCGGGTGGCCCAGAGGACAGCGGAGGAATGAGGTAGGAGGAGCACAGAGATCAACGGGGACCTGCGGGCAGGTCGGTGTCTGTCCGGCCCCTGCCAGCAGGTCCAGCGCAGAAGTCCATGCGGCAGCTCGGGAGGCTACAGCCTCAGCGTGTCCAGAGGAAACGTGTAAACTAAGCCCACGGACCACTTCTGAGGTGGAAAGCAGGTCGCTTCAAATACTTGCTGAGAAGATGAGTTACAAGAGAAGGACTGTGCCTTTTCTGCCCCCTGGGGAGAGAAGCAGAGGGAACAAAGGGAGGCTTGGGGAGCAGCAAGGGAAAGAGAGGGGCAGAGGGACGGTCCTGGCAGACAGGGAGGATGGAGGCCCCAGGCCCAGAGACAGGGTGTGCTGGGCGGCAGGAGAGGTGGGGTACACACCCAGCCCTCACTGGGCTTCTCCTCTCAGCTGAGCTGCCCCGGGGCCTCCCACGTGCCCTCCCGGGAGCTGAGAGGCACCGGCTCCCTCTGCTCCCAGCGTGATCTTGGTTTACAGAAAGGACGATGTGGCCTGGTTGGAAACGCTCATGTGATCAATGTAAAGAAACCACAGGGTTTCTCTTAAGCAGCGCCTTCCTCCTGCCCACACTCAGCCCACCCACCCCCTGCTCCCTCCTCTTCCCTGACTTTCTGCCCACTCCCTGCTCCCTCCAGTTCCCAGCGCCTTCCTCCCCAAGTCTCCATCAGACCCACCCCTGCCCTCCTGCAGCAGAACACGGAAATCATTCACCCTGCAAGGGAGCCGGGCTCCTCTGCTCACAAATGAGTACCTTTGTGCTTCATTGGCGGCCACAGGATGCCCACTGGGGCTCAGTTGCCAGGAGGCAGAGCAGGACAGCCAGGCCCTGTGCCCCCTCCACCCGCGGCCTCTCGCTAGACAGCCGACTGGTTTTCATTGCAGGTGTAGATGGTGCTGGGCTGGACGCGCCTTCGGATGCGCTCAGGCACTCTGGGGAGGATCTGGAAGGTCTGGGGCAGCAGCTCTATGCAGGCCTCGCGGAACTTTTTGATCCTCCAGCAGTAGACGATGGGGTTGAAGACAGACTTGATGTAGCCGAGCCACAGGACGCAGGAGCTGGTGGTGTAGAAGGAGGGGCTGCAGTAGAACCGCCGGCTGAACACGGACAGGAGGCTGTAGACGGCGTGCGGCAGCCAGCACAGGGAGAAGCCCACGAAGAGGATGAGGATGGTGGTGAAGGCCTTGGTTTTGAAACTCAAGTCCAAGCTGACCTGCTGCTGCCGCTGGCGCCGCCGCAGGCCGACCCTGGCGAG